ATATATATATCATACATACCATACCCTCTTACTCGAATTTCCTTTCCTGGACTCTTTTAAATTATACTTGTGTATTGATAAAACAACAGATTTTGTATAGGTGTCAGATTCTTCTACCCGAGAAATACCACCCACATCATGTTCACAAGGACAAAGACACAAAAAGCTTGACAATGTTACTTGACATGAATGCTAGAGGGTTCACAAGTTAATCCGAGTAAAATGGTTAATATTACAACAATTATGTCTTGATCTTTTACCTATCATTTTATTTACTTCAGCTCTAGTTTTTGTCATGGGCAAACAGTGAACAGAAAGGATAATAGTTATTTTCACGATATTCCTAGCTTTCCAAAGTACTGGCAAAACAAGGTAAAAACTTACCTCTTCTTAACAAACACATGTCTATTAAAATGTTCACACAAAACGCACTGAATCCCAAGTGAACAAAATTGAGAACGTCTTCCCTGTACTCATAGCATTCCGAAATAGTGTCTCAATAATTTTCACTAGGTAAAACTTACCTCGAGTTAGAACATATAAGTTGATTTTAAAAATGTATACGTTACGTTCACGGACTCCCAGGATCACAGAACCACACAATTAAGTAAAAAAGAACCACCAGAAATCAGGAGTGTAACAAAACGAAGCAAAAAGAAAACAACTATCCACATCTCTAACATACAAACAAGAATCAAAGTTTTAGAAATATTAAAGTTTCTTATATTTCTTAAAGCGTATTGGTGTATAAAATTGACACCATAACTAACAGAGTTGTCATCCATGTGGAAAATTGAGTGTATTATTATCATACAGTCAAAGTTATTTTTGAAGATGCCAGGTATAAAAATGTAATCTAATCAGACTAAAGGTTTTTCCCGAAAAATTGAGTGTTTAACTGTAGTGCTGCCGGCGTTGAAACATCTGACACTTGTACAGAATTTTTTGTTGTTGTTGTTTTAAACCATAGACTTCTGAACCACCTAAAGCCGAGAAAGGAAGCCGTACCAAAACAAGACCAAGAAGCGTCTGGTCAGTCTCTAACGGTCGCCAGTGTAGCCACCTCGTGGGCTAACGAGGTGCAGAAAGGGCAACAACTCTTAATCCTTCGCCTGTGGCCTTCGTGATACACACGAGGGCCATGCTCCGCCACCTGGAGTCGGTGGTGTGATGCACTCTCCGTACTAACGGTGCCTGCTGTGCCCATGATATAATGGTCATGTGGTGTACCCTAGATATTGTCGATAGTTGTCATTTACACAGAAACAGTCCCAGAAATTGTCGATATTTGTCACTGATACAGAAACGGCCACATATATTATCGATACTTGACACTTGCACAGAAACGTTAACAGATATTATTGATACTTCACACTTGCACAGAATTGATTGGTCTCTTATTATATGTATTGGCCTTGTCATTTCCCCCGGTATTAAAAGAAACTAATTGCTTAAAATGGGGGGGGGGGTATTTGTAAGTGTAAGTGGGTGTGTGTGTTGACGTTTTACAGTTGCTATGAATGCGGTTTCCATTATTTTGTTTATTATGTCTTGTCCTTTTTAGAGGGTGTGGGAGGGGGGTGAAATGATTTACAAACAGGGAAAGACAGGATGGTCTTGAACTGTGCTGTTTTGTAATAAAGAATACTATTTTGAATATCCAATATCCTATTATCACAAAAATACCCAAATCTGCTTATGCAGACAGCGCAACTCGATGTAGGGCTTGCGTGTGCTCTGCTGTGGTTTTTCTCCTTCTTTACCGTCGAAGAAACCGTCCTTATCTATCCTCCTTCTTTTGCTTTCGTGTTAGGAATAGTCTCTATAAACACGTCTAATCTTCGACACTTGCATGACCTATTTGTGTGTGTTGCAAGTGCCATAAAACACATTCTAAAACTAAAAACAATATCGATCTAACTCTCATCATCTCAAAACGTATAATGTGGCCAGTCCTCTGCTCTAAAGCAAGCCTTTATGTTAGGCACATTGCAGACTGCCCATTTAATAATATCTCTATTGGGAATTAGAGTGTGAGCGTGTTTGTGTGTTTGTGTGTGTAAGAGTGTGTGTGCTTTCGTGTGAGTGTGTGTTGTGTTATGAATGTGTTGAAAAAGGTTGGGGGGGGGAAGGGAGGGGCGTAACGGGATAGCATGCAAGTTAATCTATGTTCAGATAACACGCTCGTGTGATATTTTAGTTTAGTTTTAGTAGGGTTTAACGGCGCACGCCACTGCTTAAGGCCATAAAATGAGCGCCAAAGATGGGATGTCAACAGAGAAGTCCAAACGGGGAATCTGGCATACTCGGATCACCTCTCTAGTCTCAACAGCACAGTCTGCCTCGACTATCAAGGCATCCCGGAAATAGCAATTCACAAAAGTGTGACAAACATACAAAACAAGCAGAGGAAAAATGACGATAGTAAGGATGAGGAATGAAAAAGAAGCAGCTCCCCATTTGTTTATTCCGGCACAGTATGTTCCGGCACAGTATGAGCATGACATTGATAAATCAGCCCATTTACAATTTTACTATGCATAGGAACACGTTAATATCCCCCCTTTGGGGTTAATATACCCCCTTTGGGAATGGCCTAAAGACAACTTCAGT